CACTTTGACCGCGCTTTCAAATTTTCGCAAATTTCTGAAAAATAAAAATTCGCTGAAACCTTATAATATGATTTTTAGAATAAGGTCACCTAAGGGCGTCTTTGGGCAAAATATGAGCGATTTGCCAAATGGGTCGTTGACCGGCGTTTCTCGATCCTAACAGTCAGCCATTCTTAATGATTTATCGAGGATTTAATTTCGCGCGACACTAGGACGTAATTAATGCAAATCAAAGACGCCCCCTCCCAGTCCTCCCTGTCCGTTCTGTTTTGCCCAATAGAGAAGCTGTGGTATTATACACACTGAACTCTGCTCGGGATAATTATTGGACACTCACAACGAAATCAAGGATTTCTGAAAGCTCTCCAGAAATTCTAAACAGGTGATGGTGGGAATTTTCAATTCACATAGGCCAATTTCTATATCTAGGCCACTATTTCAACAGCAGCCAGACATTCGAACCTCCACTAAGGGCCACCTTTCCACAATGGCCACTGGTCCTGATACTCTCAATCTTATTTTAACCATTCTACAAAAGCGCCCTCTACACAACGCCAACGGCAACTAAAGCGTGCCCGAAGCGCCAAAATTACCTAGCCGGGTTTCGCACGAAAACTCATTTTGACACAGATGCAAAAGGCAAATCGAAAACGGCCTATTATGAGGATCTCGGGACTACTTACTATTATTTACTGCACGCATACATTAAGTAATGGAGGCCAGATTGTTTTGTTTGAGCCACATTAGAATTTCATTCGTCGTTATGTCATTCTCTAGCCAATCAAAAGAAAAGAGGAAAACGAGTTCATGATTTGCGTCACTCTAAAAAACCTGCCTATGACATGGTATCAAATTAGTGATACAGTTTGACAAACAGCCAAGCTNGGGGAGGTTGTGGTGTTTATTTAGCAACTTTCCATAGACACCTCAAAAACCTCAAAAACGATGATTTTCTTTATTTTATTTTTGTCACTTGACCTTTTTGTTAACAAAAAGTTTCAAGATTCAGACGGGATTAATACAATTCATTTAGTGGTAAAACACGTTCTTTTAGTCATAAAATAAGTCCTCGTTATTGATGTAAGAGTAATACTATGCCCACACAGAACACGGAAGGTCATTTTATACGCTTTACGGCAACTAATAAAAGTTGAATGCTTAGTTCTTGAGCGCTTTACGATGCGATGAATTTTCTGTTCACTTTTTGAAGCAAGAAGCGTAGCCGAGTGTTTGTCTTACTTCTCGAGTGTTATCAAAAATTCGCAACCCGACATTGGAGGAGGAACAAGTAGACTATTTGCTCTATAAATATGTAAAAAGGAATGAGTGAGGTAATTTATGTTTTTCAGGTGGCGACGGAGGCGGCTTTCACGACAATGGAAAGGATGGAAACGACGGAAAAGGGGGTAAAGGATTCCTTCATGGAGGGAAGGGTGGCAGAAAAGGTGGTGGTTTTGGTGGGGGTGGTGGAAGAAGTATAACAGAAAATAAAACCAACAAGGCTAGTGGAGGTGGTGGAGGGTACTCCGGGGGGAGCGGAGGAGGCAATGAAGATGATTCCTGTGGAGGAGGAGGAGGATCATATAACGATGGAAAAGATCAGCAAAATGAATGCTGTCATAATACAGCTGGTCATGGCCACGTGATCATTACATTACTGTAAAATATTACAGCTGTTATTATATTCACTGATTTTTTTTGTCTCTAACTGAGTTTTACTCAGCTATTTTAAAAGTTACAATCAATTTTTAACCGAAAATAGTCCGTCAGTTATACTAGGTTATGATCTCAACGAGATTGCTCGCTACAGGCGAACAACTTTTCCCATCAGTCATCATACACTTAGGTATATCTCCGTTTTGTGGGTAGAAGTTTTAAAAAGATCATTCACAGCCTTGGAGTTTTCGACTTCTTCCAAAGTCTCCAAACATTTGCGCGCGAATGCATCTACACTTGCCCCTCCTCCCACCCCACCTACAATGTTCGACAGGTTTACGCGCAATTTCTCTTAAGTTTCCACATTGTATTGGGTCGGAGAGGGGAGGAAGGCGGGGGGGGGGGGGGGCGAACCGTATTTTGAAAATAATAGTAGTGCTTTTTCAAACTCCGTTTCTAAGGCTGGTTTTCACGGCGCACAAGCATAAGCCGACATACGGAGACGCTGTAAGATGTTGATAATTAGCGCCTTTTGTTGGAAAAATTTCTAACGAAAGGTGCTAGTTATCAATATCTCACTGCTTCTGTGTATGTCGGTTTATGCTTATGCTTATGTGCTAGTGAGGACCAGCCTTACAAACACAGATAATTCATGCAACGACCCAAGTGTCCTAAGGACTTTTCTCCACCATTGTAGCTAGCAGGAATTGTACAAAAAATGGTACAATCTAATCTGTCAGCATTGCTAGGTTTCCTTTGGAAACAGCATAGGTATACACATATTACACTGCATGCATGTCTTGGCATTGGCGTTACAAAGTATAGTCAGTAGCTTAGCTTTAGCAGTTGACAACAGTCACGAAGGGCAGATTTTCTTAAGGTATGAAATTCGCTAACTCAAAATGGATCAAAAATCAGGTTCGAAAAAGGAATTTCTTCTTTCTTGAACTCCAAAAATGATGTAGTGTGAAGTGGAGTATCTTTTGAGTAATGTTATATAGACATATAAATTCTCCTTGCTGGTTCCTTTACACTTCTCAGCAGTCGTAGGGTGAAGTTGATATACGAACTTGACTTAAGACACAGTTTGTATACAGGTGTCATGATTTGCAAATCGAGTTTAAGATTTGTCAAATTCCAAACTGAAGGACGAAAGTGAACAAGACAATTTAAAGTGAAAAGTTATAAAATTAAGTCAAAATCAGACAGACAGGCCCGGAGCTTTATGGAGTGATGGTAGAATTTCATTGTAATCTTAGATTATATTTGTTATGATAACTTTACTTAATTAATTATCTAAGAAACCGTTAATTACACCGAGGTGTAAACAAGTTAAAAGCTGTTCAGTGTTACCTGACTAAAAAGGATCTGTTCATAAGGGTTACTTGTAAGATTTAATGCCGGATTTTCAAGTTCCAAAGTGGCGTTTAGTTTTGAACTTTGCGTAAGATCTAAGCTTTCAGTTATGTTGTTGGTTTTGAAGTTCTTGAAATTTTGTCTCGCTTTCAAGCCTCACTCTAATTATATGAAAGCTCTCGTAAACGACCAAGTCTAACTGCGACCACATTTTTTATATTCCCAAGGTGATCGCAACCTGAGCTTCGACTGTATTTGAAAACCAATGAGAACAGAAAAATTCAACTTACTTCTAAATTGAAATGCCCTACTAAAACTAAATGGCTCCAGCAATTGAAGTTGACTGCAATTTTACGTTTGACTGTTTTCTTATTGCTTTTTTGACTGTTCATACCTGAGGGTCGTAGCGGCCTAATGTTATTGAATTCTAAACTCCTGATCCGAACGTTGAGATTCAGTTCTGCTTAGAGAGCTTGTGACGTTCTTTTACGTATGTGCTGTGATCTGATCTTAACCAACGGCTCAATTTTTAAAGTTATCTTCAGTAAGGAAAATTCTGTTCCATTGCTCTATTGATCTTGTGAGAACATTAACTGTTAATTGTAATACTTGTAATAACGGTATGCAATGAATTATTTGTCATATTTAGAGGGTTTTCAAAGCATGGTTTGTATTTCTTTTTTTTTTTTTTGGTGGGGGGAGGAAGGTCATAAAGACAGGCCCTCGAGGAAAGGTATAAGAAGCGGCTCGTTCCATACAAAGAGTCAAAGGCGGGAAAATGAGGCTTCCAAACGGAAAACATTACTATAAAGCCGGAAAAAACTTAAATTATCCCGCGCGATACGTAGTTCTGGGTCATACAATTTCCATTGGTTAAAAAGCATCAGGTGTCATTCAAAGCCATACTTACGCGATACATAACAAGTGTTAATACGTCATTTCAGAGTTACATTGTACCTCTGCTTCAAAACGAGTCTTCGTGCAAAACCTTTCATATGAAAATAGATTTGATTTCCATGAAAATGAACCTTTAAGGGGAACACATTTTTAAATGATTGGTTTCGCACAAAGACTCGTTTCGACACAGATGCAAAAGGCAACTCGAAAATGGCCTATTATGAGGATCTCGGGACTACTTACTATTATTTACTGTATGCACGCATTAAGTAATGGAGGCCAGATTGTTTTGTTTGAGCTACATTAGAATTTCATTCGTCATTATCTTATTCTCTAGCCAATCAAAAGAAAAGAGGAAAATGAGTTCATGATTTGCGTCACTAAAAAAGCGTGCCTATGACTTGGAATTAAATTTCTAATACAGTTTGACAAAACAGCTGCAGCCCAGCTAGTGTCGACGACACCGAGTTAACGCGCTTAGTTTTTATATTTCATAGGACACAGGTCACAGCGCTAATAAAGTCTCCGTTTCTAAACCTTCTGACAAAATTTTCGTGATTTCACGTGAAATGCTAAAACTATATTACATAGAAACTACGTTCAATCAACGACATCATCACTGTCTTTTATCGTTATTTAGGTTAGAGACAACATCATAGACTCATTACTGTTTACCATGCCAATAAAAAAAATAAATAATTAATCCAGCAACGACAGTTCAGAGGAGCTCTTTTGTTGGTGCAACCACCAATGATTAATATGTGGCTTATTTCTGGAGCTGGTGGATTGAAAACTGATTCAGACAGATGTCAAAGTTTAGCTTTTCATGATACGCAAAGTTGAACCGGACGTTTTAGCCTCTCGCTGGAATGTAACAATTTTGAAGCCGATTTGCAAAGATGCTTTTTGTACCTTTCTGCTTTTTTTTTTCGCGTCTTGTTGGCTTCCTTGATCCCAAAGGCGCAAGGTAAGGTTGTGTTCAGTCAATGTTCGAGAACATTTTTGTTTTAGTGCATGCAGCTTGTTTTGCTGTTATTACCGTGTACTCTCGTTCATTGAACGAATGTTTTCAGCACCCTTGACTGACTCAACTCCACTTTATTAAGGCGTCCAGACGAGTCTTTTATTAGTATATAGCTTGGCCTTGTTGTTAAAAACAATTTGGACAAAAGGTGGTCAAGCTCCGTCGCAGGTAAGCTTTCAATTCTTTCGTTTGTCATACTGTTACTTTTTAGGTAGGTAGCGGAGAAGAGTGTTCATATCAGTAGCCGTCTTCCTATTTGTGTTTGCACTTTTTTAATTTGTTTGTTTATAAAATCGTCTATGGCCTCCTGAATGTCCTGACTTTCGCCAATGCCTGTTTCAGTTTCTACATTAGACGCTTCAAGATCTTCAGAATTATCCCGCGTGATACGTGGTTTTGGGTCGTACAATTTCTATTGGTTAAAAACTGTCAGGTGTCATTGAAAGCCATACATACGCAACACGTAACAAGTGTTAATACGCCACTTCAGAGTTATCTTGTGCCTCTGCCACAAAACGAGTCGAAACCTTTTATATGAAAATTTTGATTTACATGAAAATAAACCTGTAACGGGAACACATTTTCGGATGACTGGATTTTTGAATATGCTATTTACTTCATAGGCCACGAAGAGCCAAATTCATGCTCCTCCTCGATCGACTTAAATTGTATCAAGCACTCCTACGATTGTGTGAAACCACTTCTTTCCATGCCCTACTGTACTGGAAATTACGTTTTAAAGAGTAACACGGTATGGGGCTTGTGCAAAGTTGATTTGTTTTCTATATTTCTAACTACATAGTCCGTTCGTATGCTGAAGGGTTTATAAAAAGCTTTCAGCAAGTACCCCGGAGTTTGATCATTATAATTTAAAACATTAATTTCAATGCCTGTGCGTTTTCTTCTGATAATCCATACCTAATCTTCGATTGTGTAAATTCACATATCAAAGGGTTATAATATAGCGAGGATGCTCCTTTCACTCAGGAAAGTAATTTTTCAATAAGGAGAAGAGGAAAAACTGCAATATTTATGTTTGGGGACTTTATATGAATAGAAACTCTAGGGAGTAAAAGCAATAATAAAATACAGCAATAAAACCCCTAGGGGCTACTACCCTATTTTGGCGATAAAACGGTGTGTGCCCGAGGGGATTGGGTATTGCCGGTTTTGAAGTTCCCGATCCTTTAAAAGGGGTGTTATACTTATTTTTGTTCCCGGACGACCCGGAGTGGTCCTCAGATAGGGTACCTAACTTGTGACAGCTAAACTTCTAAGGCGTAAATGCCCAGCTACACGAAAAACAAGTTCTATGCTTCGTAGTTAACTTCCGATGTTACAGAAACGAAATAAAGTTCACTTCATTTCTTGGTTTTGTTTTTTCCTTAAAACAGAGTGTCATTTTTTGGGTTTGTGCCTTAAATAGGCTATCAATTGTTAAAGCGACCTTTGGGGAAATTAGCTGATCACTCCAACACTCTTTGTTTGGTTGCTTTTCTTTTTATTTCCACTATTGATGTCTTGGGTACAATACTCACAACGTTCTCTTACTTGTTGCTCTTGACTGGTTACAGCAATTACTACAACTACTAGGAGCTAACTCGTCACGTTCCTTTTAAAGGGACAACCACGTCATCCATCAAATCAATGTCAATCTGTCAATTAGGCTAA